TACCTCTGGTGGCCTGCAAAATGAACAATGTTCTGACTTCACTACATCTGATATAATTAAATTATGCATTCAGTTTGGTGCGCGTTTGTGCTCGCGTAGAAGAACTCACTGTAGGTGTACTTTGCAGCGGGGTCGAACCTCAGCTCTGCAGCCCCAGAGCCTTTACACCTGTCCATTACTAATGGTTTGCTTATATTTCTGACACGTTATCGTATCGTCTTTGATTCTGAGGCTGTTTTGTACAATTTGCTTAGTCAGTTCTTCCACTTATGAACAATTTTGGTAATATTATGGTTTGTTCTGATATCTTTTATCCTCACTTTTGTGAGTGTGTAACTACTTCGTCGCCCTCACGTCCCACCCTGGAAACACAAACCGAAACTGTCTCTATTTTCCGCTTATTAAAACTTGTAATAAAGTTGTTACATCTTGGCTTAACGTGTTTATGACGTATTAGAACGTTGTTACAACTTGCTATATTGGTTGTTATAACTGGTTAGGTGGTGGTAAAACTTGTTCGAACGTTGTACCAACGTCGTAGTTTCGGTGTGTGTTTGGCGGGCAGTGTGTTTATGTTGAAATTTTTCCTATAGTTGAAATTGAAATTGAAATTGAAATAAGTTTATTGAGGTAAAATACACACAAAGGGATGAGGTAGCTCAAGCTATTCTCACCCCGTTCAGTACAACGTGTTAATATATACATAGACACACATCACAAACAATAAACATATTACCAAACATTCTTAGAGATAAACATATACATTTCCTCCTTCACAAGTAGTATGTTATCAGACGTACACACAAATACTTTTATACTTCCTATAGTTAGTTCATATAAGTGCTATACGTATATTCTCCCTTGATTGATGCAATCTTTTTGATAATTACTTACGTTTACTTTACTGAATATGAGTTGCTATATATCTAACTGTATTTTCTCTAGTTCAATCTCGCCTTTCTATTTTGTTTCTGTTGAAGATACCGTGCTATGCTATTTCGCAATCATATCTTGTTTTGAAACTGTGAATAAAGGTGGCTTATACAATATGCTCGTGTGTGTGTAATCGCCTATTTGTACTCATCTATTTGTGCTTGCGGGGGTTGAGCTCTGGCTCTTTGGTCCCGCCTCATAACTGTCAATCAACTGGTGTACAGATTCCTGAGCCTACTGAGCTCTATTATATCTACATTTAAAACTGTGTATGGAGTCAGCCTCCCCACATCACTGTCTAATGCATGCATGTGGTGTGTGTGTGTGTGTGTGTGTGTGTGTGTGTGTGTGTGTGTGTGTGTGTGTATGTGTGTGTGTGTGTGTGTGTACTCACCTATTTGTGCCTGTAGGATCCAACTTTAGCTCTCTGACTCCCTCCTTTCTATCTGCCAGATATGTAATTGAGTGGTACACATGGGTTCTCTAAGCCCCATGTGTGCGAGAGATGACTTTAACTCCTAACTTTGACTCCTATAGCTGCCGAAGTAATATATCTTCGCCAAAGAAATGCTCTATTATATAATTTTTTCTCGCACCATTTTTTTTGTGTGTGATTTGTGTTTACATTTTTCTACACCTAACAAACAGTACGGCAGGATCTTATAGTCAAATACACACAGGCGAAATAATCTTTCATTTTCCTGGAAATGTGAACGTATTCAAAACGGCGATAATTTAATACCGCTTCAACAAGGCCCGGACTATGACACTCCCACCCCTTACAACTGGCTTAATTACATCACATTCGCCAAACGATCCCATTAACAGCGACACATCTAAATTCCAGTTCTTCCAGTCTTTATATCTCTTCCCCCCCCCCCCCCACTATAATGTTGTTTACGGAGTGTGTTTCTATATACAATCTTATTGCATTGTTTGCAAGGTGAACATCAACAATTACTTCAGCACAATAGCGCGGTATAAAGACGGTTATCCTGATGCATATATATAATATATATATATTATATATATATATATATATATATATATATATATATATATATATATAGTGTGTGTATATCACGCAAAATAAACATCGTGATTAAGAATGTGTGACAATGTCAGACCACGGAGGAAAAATGAAACAGGAATTTCCTTAAGTACTTTCGTATATTAAATACATCTTCAGAAGGTTAAATACATCCTTCTGAAGATGTATTTAATATACGAAAGTACTTAAGGAAATTCCTGTTTCATTTTCCTCCGTGGTCTGACATTGTCATATATATATATATATATATATATATATATAATATATATATATATATATATATATATATATAGATATATATATTATATAATATAATATGCATAAATTATATCTTGAGGTTATCTTGAGATTGATTTTGGGGCTTTAGTGTCCCCGCGGCCCGGTCCTCGACCAGGCCTCCACCCCCAGGAAGCAGCCCGTGACAGCTGACTAACTCCCAGGTAGAATTAAATTATATACATAAATTAAATATAAACCTGTAAGAGCAACAAGGGTGTAAAGTAAGCCATTACTCACAGGAGTGTGACCAGACTTGAGGCGCGCGAGAGAGGCGTCATTTGCACGCCCAACCACCGTGATTTCCGCCCCTGATGGTGATGATGACGACACAGGCAGGATGATGATGATGATGCCTCCTTCTTGTCGCATTTCACGCCAGTTTTCGCGAATGACACGCCGCTGGCGCGCGGGCGGGAGGAGCGCCAGACTTCTACAATCACCGTGGCTGGAGACTCGCGTGTCGCGGGGGGACTGGTCGCGTTAGGGAGGGAGTGGGCTACGTTCTCTACGGTCTGTCTGTGGTGTGTGGGGGGGGGGGGGGGGGGGGTGGTGGGAGGGGAGTGTGGTGAGGGGGGGTTGGGAGGGGGTTCAAGAGGCAAAGTGTGACTCTCATTGATGTGCGATAATGTGTACGCGTGTCAGGAAGTTTGGTGTTTGTTCCTCCGGTCTCTCTCTCTGTCTCTCTGTCTCTCTCTCTGTCTCTCTCTCTGTCCTCTCTATCTCCTATTCTCGCTCTCTCTCTATCTCTCTCTATATCTCTCTCTCTCTCTCGCTCTCTCTCTCCTCTCTCTCAGTCTTCTCTCTCTGTCTCTTCTCTTGTCTCTCTCTCTGCCTCTGCTCTTCCTTTCTCTCTCTCTCTCTCTCTCTCTCTCTCTCTCTCTCTCTCTCTCTCTTCTCTCTCCTCTCTCTCTCTCTCTCTCTCTCTCTCTCTCACTGTTGGAGTGAACACACAATGGCTGTTACAGTTTAACCTTAACTCACATATAATGGAGATGAGAAAGGGGCCATTGAATCCGTACGTAGTCAAACACAAACTCAAATTTCCGAGGAATACAACATGTCGGAAAATAGGGAGAACTAATTAAGATACGAGGACAGGTGATGGGATTATCAATCTCGCAACCCTAGAGAAAAGACCAGAGGGAGACATGATCACTCCACACAAGGTACTGAGCAAAATAGACAAAGTGGAAAAGGACAAATTTTTTTTAAGTGGGAGATAATAGAATAAGAGTTCATAGGTGGGCGCTGAAATTTCAGCGCCCACTGGTCAGGGGCCCCACGTGGGTACACCTGGCAGGTCTCTACTACAGTGACTATAGGAGGCCTGGTCGAAGACCGGGCCGCGAGGACGTTGAGCCCCGAAATCATCACAAGGTAAGCTAAGTTTGACCCATGGATAAAACTACCGCCTTATGAGATGTACGTGCCAATTCTCCAGTTCAGGCAAATTAAGCCTGCCAACTTCATTTGCTTGGGTTAAGGCCATTACAGGTAAGATATTTGCATAAATTAATGAGCTGCAGTGGTAAGTTTCAACACCATGGAGTATTAATTCACCATGTCTTGCATACTAATAGTCGGGTCCTTTTCATCTTGCCTTTCTCATTCCTTAGTGGTCTCCTTTAATTGACGTAAGTGTTACATTTCTCGTCCCAGAGTCGGTTACTATTACAAGACGCTCGGTGAAGTGAGTCTTCGATAATATTAACTATCAGACGTTCACTTTAGGTTAGTTATATTGGGCAAGTAACTTAAAACCTAACCTAATCTGTCCCAGCAACCCTAGGCCTAATACCCACTGTAGTAGGCCTAATATAGTACATATATGTGCTATTCTAGGCCTTCGAATGTTTAAATTTGGTTTTTAGTTTTTAGGACTCTATAAAATGAATCATATAATACAGATTTTTTAGGTGAGTACGTTCGGGCAAATAATTACTAAGTATTTTCAGTTTAGGAGGATTAGTTGAAATGTTGATATCGTGAGAGATGAATGTGTCCGCAGTGACCAAGAGGAACCACAAGTTTTTTTTTTTTGAGATATATACAAGAGTTGTTACATTCTTGTACAACAGCATTAGACCTAAACAGCATTAACATACAGTGACGGACGGGTTCATGATTCCTCAACAGCAGCGGCTGTCAAATATTATATAAAGCATACGCCTGACAGCACCTTCAATACCATTTTAAATAATTTGTACTATCGTTATCATATTCATATAGTATATGAAGCTGATGAGCAAAATAGCCTCGGCTACCATCAGCTTTTGTCCGGCCGTGATGGTCGAGTGGATTAAGGTGTCCTGTACACACCAGTTGCATTGCTGCTCCTGGCAGTATGGGTTCGAGTCACTTCTGGGGTGTGAGTTTTCAGTTGCATGTATGCCTGGGGACCATTCAGGCTTGTTCGCATAGTATATATCATATATTATCTATCGTATGACTGTACTATTATTGGTATTATATGTACTATCCTTTTTGGGATGGTTTGCCCTCTTTTAGGTCTCTCCAGCCTCTGGACATGCTTTTGATTCCTGAAATATCTCAAGCTTCGAGTCATCAACCACTTGGACGGTTGGGGATTGAACGCCGACCTGCAAGAAGCGAGACCGTCGCTCTACCGTCCAGCCCAATTGGTTAGAACGCCAGTTAGAGACGCCTGGTCTTTTCTCTTATGTGAAAATCTAACGTTTTCAAGACTTCCTCACTTGGACCAACTTCTTAAACCAACCAAAAGAGGAAGGGATAGATTCAGTTGGCGCCAAATTTGATCAGGTCGCCTCTGTTCTCCCAGCAGTAATTGTGAATCTGGTTGTTAAACTGACTTACGGATCGTTTTGCAAGGGAAAAATAAAACTAGTAAAGAGTAAAGCTTTCCCATAAACTATGGGAAAGCAAAACTCTTAAAAGCCTGCTTTACCCAAAGCACTCGTGTATCCCTCGTCTGCGGACACGTGATACAACGACACATACATGTTCACAACACATACATATACAACAACACATACATGTTCACAACACATACATATACAACAACACATACATGTTCACAACACATACATGTTCACAACACATATACAACAACACATACATGTTCACAACACATATACAACGACACATACATGTTCACAACACATACATATACAACAACACATACATGTTGACAACACATACATATACAACAACACATACATATACAACAACACATACATATACAACAACACATACATATACAACAACACATACAGGTTGACAACACATATACAACACACTACACTGTTGACAACACAACATATACAAACAAATACATACAATATACAACACATACATATACAACAACATATACTATACAAAAACACATACATGTTCAAAAACATACATATACACAACACATACATATACAACACACATACACAAACACATACCTATACAACACAGACATAGACAACAAACATACATATACAACAACACAACATATAACAATACATCCATATTACAACAACAATACATATACAACAACACATACACAACACAATACATATACAACAAAACACATGTCACAAACACATACATATACAACAACACATACATGTACAACAACACATACATATACAACAACACATACATGTTCACAACACATACATATACAACAACACATACATATACAACAACACATACATATACAACAACACATACATATACAACAACACATACATATACAACAACACATACATGTTCACAACACATACATATACAACAACACATACATGTTCACAACACATATATATACAACAACACATACATGTTCACAACACATACACAACAACACATACATGTTCACAACACATGCACAACAACACATACATATTCGGGTAATCTAGCTGACCAAATGAAGCCTCTGTCCCACAAACGCTTGCAGCTTCGCCTTGTGCTCAATGTGAATTCAGTCCACATCTAAATAAATTATTCATTTAGTAATAAATCCATGTCTGTGGCCGGGGGGTATAAAGCGAACCGAACAACAGATCTTGCATTGGAAAATAAACATAAAGGAATTGCAACAAGAATTACAGACCAAAGGAGACACAGACCACCTGTAAACCAGCAGATATACCGATAGGCAGACAGAAATACACACACACACACACACACACACACACACACACACACACTCGGACATGCAGACAAAACACAGTCATTAAAATAGACGTAAACAAGTAGACAGATACATAGTCAACCAACAGACATGTACAGATACAGATGCAAGCAGGCAAATGGATAATCAGAGGAAGGAAGGGTCGTACAAAGTCAGAATATAGAATGAAGAGTATGTGTGTGACATAGAGAGAGAGGAGAGGGAGTGGAGAAATAAAGTAATCTTCATAAGAGGGGTGAGGGAAAAGAGAGAGAGAGAGAGAGAGAGGGAAACATGAATGGGAAGAACAAATATAGATGACAGGGAGAAAAGTATAACAGCACAGAAGGGGGAAAATAATGACATAACTGGACAACAGATGAAAGGAATTATAATGAAAACAAAATCCATGTATACACTAATATTAATGATAAAATGTAAATGATTAACATGGATAATAATAGAAATATGGATAATAACAATAATATTTTACAGAAAATATTATCTACCCAACATTCTTGTAATCTTATCAACATCAGTCTAATAACTTATCAATATCATAACCCCCATTACCCACATAAACAATCACATTACTAACACAACATGAACATGAAGAATAACATGTTATCCCACCTGCCTCCCTCCTTAAAGTCACTTTCACTCGACCACATGATAACACAACCAAAAGTGATCATAATGAGTGGATTTACCAAACCGTAAATTGTGTCAACAGCTGACACATGTAAACAATGTGTGTGGGGGGGGGGGAGGAGGGGGGGGAGGGGGGGTGTGATAACTATATCAGTAATGGGATAAATGTAATTTTGTTTATTTTTGTTTTCCTGCTCTGTCTATCTCTTTTTCCGCTCTTCTTTCTCTTTTATCTCTCCTTCCTTCTCATCTTTATCTCCGTTCTTCTCTCTTCATCCATATCTTCTCTTTTCCTGTCCTCTTTTCCTCACTCTCTCTCTCTCTCTCTCTTTCTCTCTCTCTCTCTCTCTCTCTCTCTCTCTCTCTCTCTCTCTCTCTCTCTCTCTCTCTCTCTCTCTCTCTCTCTCCATCTCTCCCCTACTGGATCACCTGTTGCCGGACAAGGGAGCTCGGTAACCAGTGAGTCTGATCAATGAAATTAATTTACCCAACACCTCGAAATCAACGATTTGGTTAGAGTCCAATTACCTGATTATGTGAAGATGTTGACGATTTTATATATATATATATATATATA